AGCTCGGCTGAGACAAAGCAGGGAACAGCTAAGACTGTGTAAGGTACCTTCAGCACAGGTGACTTGAGAGTGGTATAGCTATAGCAGCACCCTGAAGTTATTGCAAGCTCAACAGTCCAACAGTTTAAAGCTCTCTTACAGGAAGGAATATCTTTCTGTGCTCAGCTGAATGGGGTCAACAGTTCTTCCTCCTCACCCCAGCTCATGAGAACAGACTCTCCCATATTCCAGTAAAACTGGCCTACCTGAACAGCCCCGCACTCCTCTTCTACGCCAGGTTTCTCGGACCACAAGCGTGTTCTGCCCAAAAACACCCTGCTCGCACTAATGCAGAAAGCCTCATGGACAACACTGCACCTTCACATAGGTGAAGATTACATCTGGCTCATTTGGAGCTGGGGGAAGCAAGCATAGCGATGGTGCAGTCACACCACGCTCTTTGGGGTGGTTACACCACACTGTCCTGGGCAGAAAAGCTGCAAATTTGTGGGGAGAGGTAGGAAAGCACAGCACTTAATTGCACAAATGCAATTTTGTGATCTGAGGCATCTCTTTTTGTATTAATTATTGGAGCTGTACTCTTATCACTGCCTCTGAAAAGCTGAGTCCTGCAGCTGTACCAGCCTCAACTCAATGTGAACACCAGCCCCAGAGACCTCTCAGAGCCAACAGTTACCACAGGCTTACAGAGGACAAGCGTCTCATCCCCATGCTTCACACAGAAACACAAGCGGAGAGAACTCAGGAGACAACCCAAGGTCACACAACTTATGACTGCTCTTGCAATACCCATTGAAAGCTGGTTTTACATGGTACTCTGGCTTGTTGGCATGCACTAGGTTTAAAGAGTGAATAGATTTTCAGGTCTGTTGTCTGTGAAGTATCAAAAAAATAACCAAAGCCTGATTAGAAATACTGTGGAAGAAATGTGTGCTAGAAAAGCAAATTTCCTCTGAATTCACCCAAATGGAACAGTCCTGAAGAAAACAGCCAGGGCACTGTGTCCTCAGTTGTCTAGAGCAAGCTCAAATATCTTTGTGCTGTGAACACCCGTGGGAGGTTACATGGTTAAGGGAAAAATTCTGTCTGCACCACCAGAATAGTTACTCAATGTATGAACATACCCTGAAGATATCTGACCTCTGCATTAAAGCCATTAGAGAGAGGTAGCCTCCGTAGGACCAGCCATGAATGCCAACACGGTCCAAATCAATGAAGTCATACTGGGATGCTAAATACTGCAGCCCTTCCACTTGGTCATCAATTTCTATTTGTCCCTGGGAGGGGAGAGAAAAAGGTAAAGTTTTGTTAGTTCCAGACAAAAGTTACATTCTCAGGATTTGCAAAGGTAACCACCTTCAGACTTCTGCTGCTTCTGTGTGTTCAGCACCCAACCACACACCAGCCCTCCACCGTGCTAGGCATGTTACAGAAAGATGACCTCTTTCCCCAACAAGACAATAACTACACGCTAACCCACCTCTTCACTATCCTTTTCTTCATTTGTCTCCTTGCTTGGGGACAGGTAAGATTTTTCAGTATTTTTGCTTTTTGCTGTTACAAAAGCAAGGCTGAATTCTAGCTCTGTGCATGAAAATGCCATTCCCAACACAGAGAGCTACACTGCAAAGCCAGAAGAACCTGGCACAGGTCTGCCCTGCCTGTACACATGGCCAAACACACTCACCCTCTCCATCCTGACACAGGAACCGCCCTAAATAGTAATCCACGCTGAGAATGAAACTATGCTGCTTCATGTGAGCAACAAACAATTTCTGGTAGGAGTCAAGAGACCCCCCCCACCATGCCTGAACAGCTGGAGTTGGTTTGCAACCTCAAACCCTAACATTATATCTTTCCCACATCGAGTGCCACTCCTCCCTCAGACCCACACTGCTCATCTATAAGCAGTTCCCCTCCCCACACCCCGACAGCGTCACACAGGCAATGCTGGGCATCTGTGCCAAATTGGTGCTTCAGCTTGGATAACACTGGGACTCAAAGCTGTCTCTGGCTGAAAATACGAAGAACCAGACTCACAGCTCCACTTACCATTTTGTATTTAAATGCTCCTTCAAACTTCAGCCCTCGGTGGCAGGACCCCCTGTTGTCAATGACAACAACAACGTAGCCTAAAGAGGCCAAAGTGTTCAAACGGAAATACTTGATTCCTTTAAACCGATTGTTCACTAGCTGTACCTGGAATAAAAGAGCAGCAATGACACAACCATATATGTAATGGAATCCAGAGGTCAACTCTTAATTCAATTTCAGATTTCATTTGTATTTACCTTCCTCTGAATGTTTTATACATTTTTATAATGTAGAGTTTTCAAGATCCCTGCTCCCTGCTGCAGGATTCCCTCTCGCTGCTTGTGGTCTGCTGTGAAATAAACTCTCTTCCCCCAGTAACAATCCATTCTGCGTCACAGGCACGGAGAGTTGAACTGAGCTCCTCTGCAGCACCAATGGCCACAGAGCAAGAGGGGCAGCTGCTGACAGCACAACCCAACCCCCAGCCTGCAGCTCTGCTCTCCTCTCTCTCTGATCCTTCCCAGGACAAAATCCTGCCCTTCACCAAGTCTCACTCCAGCTGCCTTGGACCACAGCAGGGCACAGCAGAGCTGTGGGAACCAAAACAGGGCTAAGGGACTCACCTTCTATCCATCAGTGGGAAAAAGCCCTCCTAAAAACACACGCTGGTAGTGGTCAGTACTAACAGAGAGCTCCCCTCATGTACGCTTGGGGGAAGTGAAAACAAAGAACAGGAGCCGCTGCGGAGGAGACAACACAGGAAACGGGGACTATCTGCAGTCCCTTTCCTCCCAGTTCCAGCTCTGCTCCTCCATACCAGTTCTCAGACAAGTGGCAGTGCCCTGGTCCACGACCTGGGAATCATGATCACTTACCGCAACTTTGGCCAAGCAGAGACTCACCAAACAAGCAAAAAGCTGCACCTTACCCTCAGCACAGAGCAGGAACATACAGGAGAGCAGTGGAGTGACTCAGGCCAGCCCACCCCACTGCTCACCAATGCGCTGCGCTCACCTGAGGACCTCCATAGATGAAGAGCACAGTGGGGTACTTCTTTCCAGGTTGCAGATTGTGAGGTTTGTACATCATCCCATAGAGCGTAAACCCCGTGGAGCTCTCGAAGGAGAACACTTCTGGGGGAATGTAATCAGGAAGAGGGCCTGCCATGGGAAGGAACGGAGAGTATGGTTTAACAGGGAATGGATGAATAACGCAGCTCTGCTCCAGCCCTGCCCATCACCAATCTCGCTGCAATCCCAATGGAGCCCTACCATGCTTTCCAGTGGATGTGGCTGGGACCAGGCAGTGACCGGCAACACCCCAGCCCTAGGGAAACTTCCTCAGTCCTATCCCATTCCCATCCCTGCTCTCCTCTGAACATTAGTAACACTCCTCCCCTGACACAGCTGTTATAGGTACCCCATCCCTTCCTAACTCCACTTAGGACTCACTGCATTAATACACGGAAAGCATAGGATATGGTGTGTGCATTAGGGAAGGAGAGATGAAAGGGAACAGAAACACAGTGGAAAAATAAAAGTCCAAGAGCTGTCTCACAAAGACAAGAGCAGGCAGCAGCACACAACTATTTAAGAAGCCTCTGCCCCTCCCCAGAGGCCCAGAAGCATGCTCATTAGCAGGAATATAGTACGGAGTAAATAGGCGCACTTAAACCATTCCCCCAATGCCAAAACTGGCGTTCTACAGTTGCTTCTGGCTCTGGCAGTAGAAACTTGGTAATTTCCACTCTAAATTCCTTCATTGCCAGTTTATACCCATTTGTTGCTTAGCTGGAAACATTACTCCTGCACTTCCAAGAACTCCTCACACAGTATGAGTTTCAGAGACAAGTCTAGTCACCCAAACCAGCAAATCTCAAGCAAGCATATTCCAGGATATCTTTCATTCTGCGACCCTGGTTGTACTTTTCCAGCTCCTCATCCACGCCATTACCTGCTGAATCTAAAATGGTAGCCCAGAATTCCTTTGTCCTGTGAGCTGCTGCATCATCTTCAGGTCCTGTCAGCCGGTAAAGCGACACACAGTGCGGGTTCTTCTGATTACTGTACTTGCTGATGAACATGTCACAATCCTAGGGAGAAACAGAACACTACCTTGAACTTCTCCGCGAAGAGGCACAAGCAAAAGTGATCACTCATCCTGCATTTAGATCTTTCAGAAGATGCATATGGATCAAATTAAACCAGGAAGTCTGAGCTCTTTTCGTAACAGGAGATACTCTGAGAAGCTACAGTCCTTAGCAAGGTTTAGATATCAACACTCCAAAGCCCTAAATACATCTGCAAAACCAACAGTGGCATGAGGACCTTGTCACACATCCTCTTCAGGGTAAAGCATTCCCAACCGAACAGGTTACTGCCCCACATGCCTGGAACCCCACTCCGTGCTGCCACAGGCTCACCTCCTCTGGTGACTGCTCTGTAGGCCACTTCAGGCAAAAGCAGCCAGGATGAATCGTTCAAAACTGAGCTCAGGAGCAACTACACTGGGAGGTCAAATCTGGTTTCCATGGTGGATTTACACACTCACTGTACAACATACAGGAGCACACAACACAGTGTGAAATCTGCTTATCTTGCATCCAAATACAGCCTTGTCTGCTGACTGATGAAGGAAAAGGCTGGTGATAAGCCACGGCACAACCAGGCAGCCCTGCCTACACAGGGCCTCACAGGCAGACAGGTACCTGGCTGACACAGCAGGCGTGAGAGTAACCACGTTCTGTCAGCCGCTTCACTTCTCCAGGATTCTTATAGTTAACAACGTACAAGTGATGCTCTAAAGGTGAGTCTTTTGTGCCTTGAAAGTACACCAGTTTTTTGGCTTCATCAACATAGATCTGTCAAAAACAAAGCAAATAACATATTCCTCAATATTGCTTCTTGCCAAAACAACACCCAGTTCTACCACCTCCAAGTATCCCCCCACCCCACTTCCGTAACGCTGAGTTACAGCCCAACAATCTGCAATTAATAAGCCAAAAGACTGTTCTTGCTGTCCACAACTCTTGTCAGTTATGATTTACACTTCACACCTTGTTGCTCAGCTCTCTCATGCAGGTCCTCTACTCTCCCCAGTCTCCCCTACTGTTTGCTACGCTAAATAACTCTGTCCCCCATTCTTTGTCACCTCCCTGCTCTTCAGACCCTTTCCCAAATCACATATGATACAGACCACCCCAGAAGGAAATCAAGGCAGCAGCTGACCATAAACCACTGCCATGTTAAATATTCCTCAGTTGTCCCTCCTTTTTGAGCCAACAGCAGAACAGATGCAAATGCAAGCCAATCTGTATGCTTCATTCCCTAACCCTATTTCTAATTACCGATTAGGAAGGATTTCAAAGACCTTCACAAAGTCCCAACCAGTCAGACAGTTCTCCTTGAACTGCTGTTTGATTCAAATGATCAAAGAATTCATCCAGCTCAGAACCAGAAGAGCAGTGGTTTTGGGAGCATTCCTTCCTTCCTTGTGCGAGCTCACAAGCTACATGGAACATAAGCACTACACATTCTGGCTAAAAAGAGACAGCGTTAAAAGATTTATGCTGATCCCTCCAACAAGTATCTCTTGATTCCACGACAGCAGCTGCACACCACATGACATCTTGCTGCTCATGGAACACGTGGAATTTCCTCACTGCTGCCTCACAGTATTTTTGCTTCTTTCTCCTCCTCTTTAAGCCTTGAACTTAGTGGGGAAAACTCCTTGTTGACAAGGATCCACACAGGAACATGCAGGAAAAGAAAGCCAGCTAATGTTGCCTGTGTTGCTTTCCCACACAGCCAAAATCACACCCTCTGGTCCAGAACAGCCTATCAGAGGTAGAGAAGGATGAAAGCACACAAAAAAAACCTCACAGGATCCTACTACGCTCGAACTCAATACCAGGCAGTGGCAGGGTCTGCTCTTCTCAGAGAACACAGCCTCACTAACACAACATGTACTGATTTGTGAGGCCCCAGATACCACCTCCCCATTGCGTGCAAGATATCCACGCAGCGAGAGCGGAGACTTACATTGGATCCATGTCTGCCAAGCACTTCCCATTCTCCGCTGGTAATCGCTATCTCCTCTTTGATGGGGCACTTGAAGTCACCTGCAAACAACCAGCATACAAACAGAGATTTGACACTTTCACATTTTACAAAACACATGGTCATAGTAATACTTCTTCCTTCCAAGCATTTTTACTAGACTAAACTCAAGAGCAACCTGCCTTCGCAGGAGACCCACACCTTTGTCAGCTACCCAGAAACACGTTAGGGCTGGTACTATTTAACATTCTGTGAAATATATGTTAAAGGATTCACAGGATTCAGCCTGAGGCCTGGACTTGCTTGCCTTTTTTTTTTAAAAAAAAGTATTTTTTCACTTGCCCAGAAATAGAGGTTTTATACTGAAAAATGGGTGTGCAAAGGGACTCGCAGGTGTCAAAAATGGAGGATTTTGCAACAGGTGGGGAACAACTGTGCTTTTTTAAGATGGCTTAATTTCCATTAGAACTAGGGAAATATAGTGAGAAAAAGAAGTTGGATGCATTCAGAGAAACTGAAATAACCCAGGATATAATGCTTTCTGGAAAAAAACCCAAGCTGCACAAAACTAGGACCTCTACTAAAATAAGGTGTGTTTTTTGTACACGCAGAGCCCAGTAAGTGCCTTCAACACACACAGCGTGAAACTGTAAACTAAAGTATACAGGCTGTGGAAAAACCACTCCAGGAGCTTTGCACACAGCTATATCATGCATCTGAGACAGAGACATGGTGGGACAACTCGTATGACTGGAGTGCCGTCATAGATGGCTACACAGTCGTTAGGAAAGACAGGCCAACAAGGCAAGGTGGTGGAGTTGCTCTGTATATGAGGGAGTAACCGGAATGTATCAAGCCCTGCCTGAGGGTGGATGAAGAACGAGTCGAGAGCTTATGGGTAAGAATTAAGCGACAGGATACCTTATAAATGCCTACAAATATCTGAAGGGTGGGTGTCAGGAGGATGGGGCCAAGCTCTTTTCAGTGGTGCCCAGTGACAGGACAAGGGGCAATGGGCACAAACTGAGGCACAGGAAGTTCCGTCTGAACATGAGGAGGAACTTCTTCCCTCTGAGGGTGACGGAGCCCTGGAACAGGCTGCCCAGGGTGGTTGTGGAGTCTCCTCCTCTGGAGATATTCAACCCCCGCCTGGACAAGGTCCGGTGCAGCCTGCTGTAGGTGACCCTGCTTCGGCGGGGGGGTTGGACTAGATGACCCACAGAGGTCCCTTCCAACCCCTACTATTCTGTGATTCTGTGATTCTGTAATGCTGAGCAAGACCACACTTCGACTGCAGCTCAAAAGCACACAGTTCTTGATTTTTTTTTGCTTGAAATGATTCTTCCTGCATTTCCATTTGCAACAGCTGCCAGTAATTTTCTCCTACTAACACCTCTGTCTATACAGCAATACTATGATTATTTTTAAGAGCAGAGAGGAATTCTCTGAACAGTTGTCATATCATAGGTTTTGGTGCCGAGCACACATGTTCATTTTAAGGTGACTAACATGTGGGCTCCCAGACAGGGAGGCCCTTCACAGAACTTTTTACAGTGTGTTCAAACCATGCTCCTTGTCAGCCTCTCTGCTACCAATCTGCTTGTAAATGCTAACAGGGACTATGTTGGTTTTACTTGCAAAATCAAGTCCTGAACCAACGTGCATCTATTAGATACACTGGACCCTGCCCATCAGAGGTAGTCACAACTCTGCTATAATGATTAACCTCTGGCAAAGTCCGCGCACAGTCTCAACGCTGACAAGGCTAAGCCAGCTAAATGCATGTCCCAGTATCACAGGGAGCTTGTTTCCCATCTGATTTTTTGAAGCTTTTCCCTCTAGACTGTGAGGAAGAATCAGGGTTACAACTAAGGCATCCCGAATACAGAATAACCTCTGTACAACTTCAAGAGGAATGACTGTACAGTGAAGTGCTTTCCTGGACAACAGCAGGAGTTTCCAAAAAGACAACAACTCCTGCCACCTGGAAGGACATTTATTTCCTCACTAGCCGACAGCAAATGCCCAATTAAAGCAAAAGAATAATTTCACTTACTTGGAGCAGGGAGGCCTCCACATGACCGCTTATACTTGCTCTCCTTCAAAACTGAGATGACTTTGTATAGGTGACGGAATCCTGTTTTACACTCAGAGGCAAAAATGAACTCTATCTCATCTTCATGGGTTTGAGGGAAAACATAGAAGATATCATGGATCTGTGGAGACAGAGCAGTGGATCATTATCAGCAGGACTTTGGCCCTGAAGTCACACACACTAAGTTCCTCATACCACTCCACACAGACAACACAGTTCACACCAGGGGGATGCAGCACTGTCCCTTACTGGGAGAACCAGTTATGCTTATGAGCCAGGGGTGTCTGCAGACAGCGGCCACATATGCTGCACAGCTCCAGGCTTTCTTCTAGTCTAACTCTAAATGCTGGCCACCGAACTAATTAAGATTTTCCGCACCTGCTTTTCTAGATTAGATACAGAGGTTGGTCCAGCTGTGCAGACAGTACACAAGAGCCACCCAGAGAAGCCAGAGTTCAGTGGCCTCCTCTGTCCAGCGCTAGCCCACAAGTGAAGATTATTTAAAGAAAGACGAGCTCACATCATCTTCCCACGCATGAAGATGCCAGCTCTTGCTTCAAAGGACAATCTTTTGACGGACTCGGAGCATTTATCTGTACAGTACAAGCTGCCAGACAGTAAAAATAACGGAGAAAGGACAACTCGCTGCACCATCCTGAAATCAGGCACACTACTAAGGAGAAAACACGGTATCATAGAGAGCACTGCATACAGATAATTCACCAGAAGGCTTTGTGCAAATGCTCTCTGCTGAAAGATTCAACTACCCGTCTGTGATTGATGTTCCCAGGCCTTCTTGAACCCTGGCACACCTCCAACACGATATCGTTTTAGAGACATCGATCTTTATCTGCAGAAGGGTGAACAGCACTCATTTTTACAGCATTAGCCTAGCACACCGGTGTCCAGTCTCACAGCACAGGCTCTAAGGCACACCTACGAGGACATTACACACGACCCTATTTCACCAGACCATACATAGTTAAGGAAGGTTTTTAGTGACTGGTAGCCAACTCTCGGGACTCGTTCACCCAGTATCACCTAGATACATCTTTGTTGGCTGAAGAATACTTCACCTGTTGGCACTGCTGTTGGTGAACAACGGGCACCAAGAAGTCGGAGGGTGTCAGTGGGTCACACTGCAGGCAAGGGGCTGCCCTGGAATGCCAGAGCCCTGGGCTCTCCTCCTAGCTTTGTCTGACTGCTGTGAAGCCGCAAGCAGAGCAGCTCCACTTTCACACCCCAAATTTCTCTGTCCTCCACAGACTGTTTTTTACAGCAGGAAGCACAGAACATGCACAGAGGGAACATTCTCCTAGGCAGCACAGTAACACCAATGTTGCTCAAGTGCTACAAACAGGGTCTTGAACCACAAACTGTCAGAGAAGACTGAAATTCAAATTCTTACATTTATCCAGATGTCTGTTGTTTCTTCATAAATAATGAAAGGTGTAACAGAATCTGGTACAGCATCGATAAGTTTCTGTCTTTCCATTGCATCATCTTCTGTTGGGATGAATAATGCAGGAGGGATCAAGACTATCTGCAGTCGAGTTTGGGAGCGATCCAGTAAAATGGACCAGATGCTGTTAAGGAGACAGATATTAGAGAAAATAATGTGCAACCTTGAGTATTAGACAGGTCTGAAAATCAACAGACACTCATTAGCACTAGGCATTTTGAGGGAGCCAAGAATGTTCAATTTCAGATTAAGCACAAAGCCACCTGTAAAATTTAACCCACATAAACAAATCTCTTCCACAACACAAGAACTTATTTCACTTCATTTCAATATTGCATAAGCACTGCCGGTTCAAAAGTTTAATTAATTCTATTCTCCCAGATTTGAATTGTGCTTTAGGGGAGAAAGAGAAGAGAAAAACCAGAGGGAATAATAAAGCAGAAAAATTTCAATTGAAATTTCAGGGTACTTGTGAAAATACTCATGTTTTAAATCTATACCTGGCAGAGAATAATATTGACACCTAAACGGACTGGCAGCGGACCCTGCCATACTTCTGATGGCTTTACATGTACCTCTTAACAACAATCTCACAAAAAGCAAGGTAATGGAGCAAATACGTCCCTGCATTTCTTCCACATTTGGGGCGAAAAAAAAAAATTAGAAAGATGAAAGCCATCTTTAGATTCAAGAACTGTAGAAGTGCAATTCTGGAGAAGCTTCTGGTAAGTTAGAAACACTGTACTACATCATCTACAGGGTTAAAATGACATGCAAATGTAAGTAGCACTTACAGCAGGTTTTCTGATCAGTAAGTCTGGTCAGCAAGGATGGTCCAGTGGTTAGGGTGCTAGCCTAGGGCCTGGGGGACCTGGGCTCATTTCTCTCCTCAGCCACAGACTTCCTGTGTGACCATGGCAAGTCACTTAGCCTCTCTGGGCTTCAGGTCCCCATCTGTAAAATGGGGACAATAGCACTGCACTCTCTCTCACAGGGATGCTGAGAGGACACATACATCAAAGGCTGCGAGTGCCCAATGCCAAAGCAGTAGGGCCAGGTACCAGAGAAAGAGACAAGGAGCGCTCTGTTTCAGTTTTGGAAAAATCATCCCCTTTGCACAACCAAGTTTGCAGGAATGTAAAAATGAAAGCAGGCTTAAGCTTGAAGAAGACAGAGGCGACTACATTCTGCTTCTAACTGTATTGCCCCAAACCCCCTAAGCAGAGACAGGATTAACATACGCACTATTTTCCTTCTGGCGTCCACCCAGCTCTAGCAATGTACTCTACTCCTTCAAAGAGGATCTCGAACGGCTGAACTAGCTCTTTATCCACAACATCTGCAATCTGTTGACAAAGCAGCAATTCAGTGACACTGAGATGAACCCCCACAACCAGTTTTCATGCACGATGAGAGTCCGGCCACAGAAGACTACTTCTGTGCAGCTCATGCAATTTAGATTGTTCAGCCTTTGCAACACCGGGGATTCAACCCGGTCTGTAGCCAGACACGAAAACAGTAGGAGAGCTGCACAATACCAGCACAGCCAGGGCTGGGACTCCAGAAATCTGGGTGCTGCTCACAAATCCATCACTCGCCTCGGGCAAGTCACTTGAAAACTCAGTTTCCCCATGCAAAGGGGAGATGATTTGTACCAAGCTATTTTTTAAGGCGCTTTCATCGGTAGATGCTGAACATCCTGCATGACATCCAGTTATCAACGTGGTTCTAATTCATGATATGCAATTCTGCAGTCTGTCCCTGCTGGGACTGGGGACAAGTCACAGTTGCACCCCATGGGTCGTGACGGCTTTCTTGCCTTTGCTGGCTGACGTCAGCATCGCTGTCCCAGCAGGTGACTGTTGATGGCTGAAGTAGCTCAAGAGTAGAGAGAATCCCAGTAATGTATGGCTGTTACTGTATCTGTCTGGTAAGACTAATTTCCCAAATGTCCAAAGATCTTGGACTGGGCTATGGAAATTTCTGCATCTGTTAAAAAATCCAGGGGCAAGAGCAAAGTTCATCTCTTTCCATATTTTCATGCCTTCGTAAGCTGACATATTGTCTTTGCAATCAGATTTTCCCAATATCTGCACCCAATCAAGAGATCTGTCACATAAGCAGGTCTAACTATCCACACCTAAAATATTCTGCTCTGAAGCTGAGCTCATAAACCAGTGGTACAGAAGGAAAGCACAGCCTTGAGAAATACTGCTGCACACACAGACACCAAGTATCTGCACAGGGATGAGTCAAGTGCACTGCAAGTTTTGATAACTTGGTTATCAAAACCAAGAAATTTTATTTGCACTGAACTGGAAAGTGAATTTTACCAAAAAGGATTCACAGAAATTATATCCATTTGGAAAACAAGCAGAACATAGAACTTACTCTGCCTTCCGCATTGATTGTCACTTCAGATATCTTGAAAGTGACCTTTGGATTTGCTGTACCTATAAAAACAGATGTTAGCAGTCAGGCACCGATCGTTTGCTTCCAAGAGGGCAGACTTGAACTGTAGATTATTGTGGTGTTATTCATACAGAACTGGAAAAGGCAAACAGCAGAATGATCTTTACAGCCTGCTTGCATGCGTGAGAGGCAGCACAGAACCAGGCAGGAGAAAAAGAAACTGCAAACGTAAGGCAGACTCAGTGGATGTAATCTTGCAAACAGATCTAACCCAGAGCCATGCTGCTGTCACAGGCAGTCTTCTCTCCCACAGTCAAAGGATGCCTGTACTAGCTGGAAGTAAATGCTCAGGAGTGATCGGGATAGCAAAGCAAGTTCTTATTTACTGTTTGGCTGTTATTCTTGAGGTCATGCACAAAGTGATCCAGTGCTAAAAAGCATCTTTGAAAATCAGAGCAACTCACTCTTAAAATCCTATTGCCATGACCAGTGTCATTAAGATAACAAAGCCACATATTTGTGTGGAACACTGAAAATCCAAAGTTAACTTGTTACACAAAGCCTGCACAAAGCAGCAACTCTTCCTGCTGTACAGCACCTGCAGTGCTAAATGTCGGGGCCTGCTCCACAGCAAAGCTGGATGGTAAGAATAAAGCCGCTGCCAGTTGATCCACAAGAAGTCACAAGTGGTAAATTCCACGTACTCCAAAGATTCTCAATGCCGCCGTGAAATACTCCCACTTCATCAACCCGGTTTATACACAAAAAATGATGCACTGAGGTGAAACAGCTTGCCTTGGGCCCCAGTGCTGACCTATTTAAGTACTTACCTTCTCCCTGGGAAGAATTATCTCCACTACCTCAAGCTTTGCCCTCATAACAACCCACAGAAAAGGGCTATTAGCTCTGCAGCTCAGACTGGAAACTACAACACAGAGATTAAAATCTGGTTTGGGGTTTTTTTTTTTCAAAAGGATTTGGGCTTTGGTTGGCTTGTTTTCCTGAACTGCTGAAGCTTAGCATTTAACTATGGCAAAATACCCTCAGAAATGTGAGCGTACACAAGTGCCGAAAAAGCATGGGGAGTCATCCCTAGCTTCCCAGGGTAACACTGAGCCTTTCCTCCTCCTTGAAACAAGCAGGAAAGCAGGATCATGAGCAGAAAACTTTTCCCAGTGGATCAGGGAAGCTGCAAGATCTGAAATGAATTCTGCAAACTGGGAAGGTCAGTGAAACAAGATATTTCTCCAATAAATGAAGATTTCAGGAGTGAGGACAGAGTGAACCACTTGGTTAACTGTGAGTAACCTGCCCTGCTGAAAAAAAAAAGAGAAATCTCAAAAGGACAAGGGTCAGACTGTCCAAATTTGCCCAATACACCTGACACACGTCAGTGGATCAGCCCACAGCAGGTCTGCCTAAGTCCAGCTTCCCTGATTCCAACGGCACTCCACTTTGTATGCCTCAAGCCTGCCCTCACCCCTTCACTGCTGAGGTCTCCAGATCATTTACTGTTTCAAAATACGATGACAGGGGGGTTTCCTGGTAGGCTGTCAGTATGCCGAGTTTGTTGTTCAAAGTCCAAGAGCAATCATGGAAACCACAGTCCTTCAGAACTTGAACTATCAGGGCACTGCCAGCAGCTAAACAGAAACCCTCCTGAAAAAGCAGAAGGCCAAAAATCTGCAGCTATTCCCTCAGAGACACAGGGCTGTAACGAGAATCAGCTCCTCAGCAACTCAGATCTACCAGGATCTGAGACAGCAGCTCCAAAATAGTGACAATCAGATAGGGTTTCCGCCAACTCCTGAGAGACCCAGGCTTGGAGCTCTTAGTAACCACATGGCTGGAATATCAGCACAGTCACCAGTGACTAATCTAACCTCCACAGCAGCCATTTCCCCAAACACATTTCCACCACCTGGACGCCAGTTAAAAAACTACTCAACACCTCTCCAGCAGCCCCCTGCTCCAGGCTAGGAAAGTCACTGCTGTCAGGCACATGGAATAAAACACGTGTCTCCCAGAAACAGAGATGTAAGATATGAGGGTCTCACCAGTTTTGGGGTACCGGAAGGAATCTGTTCTTCTTGTCTCCAGCATGGGCGATGTGACATGAATAATTTCCACCTCTGACTCATCATTTTCTTCATAAAGAATTCGAAGAACTTTGCCCCCATTCAGTGCTGTAAATGAATTAACGTCTCCTGGTCAGAACAGCTCTCATTATCAGTTATTGCAGGCATTGATATTCTCCCAGGACCACAAGCAGGTTGGAAGGATGAAGAAAAACATCCAACAAAGTCTGTGATCCATGTTTTATTAAGCAAAACACTCTGAGACTCTTCCAACTCCTACCACTATTGTGAGCAGGAAAGTCTCTTCCCCCAGCAATACGTGCTCCCAAGGCCACCGTAACTTGCCCCCCGCTGCAGATGGTTCAAAAGCAGCTACGAGTATAAGGTTCCTATCTCACATAAAGACAAGTAACAGAAAAAATAACTCTGCACTGGACAGGGGGGGCACTACCTGTGCCTGTCAGACACCCCTAGATCCACCACACTTACTCGGCTGTGCCTTTGGGCTCCACCAGTAGCCAGTGTATCTGTCAAACTCCTCCTGCAGCACAAAAGTAGCCACCCCAGCAGATTTTGGATCCTCCTCAACATTGGCCAGTTCTAAAAAAAGACACAAAGGAATTAGTTCATGTTGTACTGTAGAATCAAACTAGCTCTGCACTATCCCAAACATGGCCCAAGTTTACCCCCGGGAACAATTACATTATAATAAATCTGACTTCTCAGCAGATTCGTTTTCTGCTTCCACCCTGCTCTGTTGTTTTATTTAGGGAGGATCTAATCCTCTCTGACATGGCAGCTTCTTTTCGGAAAGGAAAGCCATCCTCCCTTCGTACTCCTACCCAATCAGTGTCTCAATTTGCCATGTACTCTTCAAAGAAAGAAAATGTTCTCTCTGCCTGAGCTCAGTGAATTGGAATCACAACTTAAGAAAATCAAAGAAAAAACCCAAAACATACAAACGTTTCTGAACAACTGAAACTATCAACGTTCAGAAAAATGAAAGCACCAGTATTTCATTCAGCGTGCAAACCAAAAGCAACAGACTTACATAACATCTCAACATGATGACATATCCATGGGGCTTCAATATTTTTCCTGTTACCCTGGAGGTAACTTAGCAGCGCTCCATAAATAATTATCATCTGAGAAGGAGTCATTGCTACAGTTTATTTTTAATGTACTTACATAATATTTTAATATTTAACATTTAAATAAGCTAAAGCATTATTATAAAGTGTCAGAATTTTTAATTTACCTAAAATTTAAATGACATAGTTTAAATAAAGTACGAGTGAAATACAAATTGCAATGGATTTTTTGCAACTGCTTTATCCACAGTTTGCCATTTTCCTTCCTCCAGGATACACGTCTAAAACAGAATTGGAGAGTGTAAGCGAGGACCTAAGCTACGGAGTATGAGGGGCCAGCAGAAGCCACAGTGCTATTCATAAACTGTCTATATTGTTTCCATAAGGCCCTGCAGCCTGATTTCACTGACAGAAACTTTCCTCCAGCTCTGTTCCACCCACAGCTCCTGCACACGAAAAATGCTGTTCCAGTAAAAAGGAATGTGCTGGGTTTCAGGAGAAGAGCCCTTCCATATGTATTCAACAAATAACTTGTTTTGCCAGATTCCACAGTGGAGGTGAAAGAATCATCCCACAATATCTGCACTAGAGGAAACACGTAGAACATGACAAACAAGGTGCAATGAATTGTGGCCATTCCCCCAGATTTCAGAAGAACCCCTGGTGCCATTGCTTAATTCAGTTGAGCAAGAACAAGCGCAGAGGAGGTGCAGAGATTTTTAATTCAGGATGCATTACCATTGTGCACAAATGTCAGCCTCCTTTCTTCTCTAGTTTCTATATTAGATATCCAGATGTCATTGCTATGGATAAAAGCAATCCAATTCGGATCAGATGGACAGAGCTTGGGATCCATCCGGATATTTGGACAACTGGTCTCTACCAGAATGGGTCTTAAAGGCTGTTGCTGTTTGAAAGAACAAAAAAAAAAACCACAGTCAATAATGATAACACACGGACACTTACAGGCACTAAACTGGATTATCTCTAAGACCACAGTAGTGTGGATGCTCACTTCAAATATACAGGTTTACAACAGAGGAATCTATCAATTTTAGACACAGAAAAATACTACGCAGCTATTTTATAGGGGAAGTCGTGCTTCTACCATGGTCGCACAGATCCCACCAGGGCCTCTTTCAGCAGTGCTGAGGATTAGCCGCAAATCAGAAGGCAGCTTGCCCAGAGAAGCCTGGCACACTCTTGAAAACAGCACCCTAAAAAGAAGCTGGCAGAACACACAATCTTGTCCTCCAAAAGCAAATCAGGGTACAGCATATTCTCCCTGACAACAGGGTTAGACAAACATTAGGCATTTGTTATAATAAGAAGAAATTATTTCAGCTTTGAAGTCCAGCTTCAGCACCAGCAGAGTAAAGGCTGCTTGTTCTGCGAGTTCTACAGCCAAACCGTGTAACACACACTGCACTGACAGTTGAACAGTGACCTCTAATCCACAGCTTGGGAACAAAAGCTGCCTCTGACACGACTTCTGACTACGTGAAAGAACAGGGAGCATCGCAGTCTGCGTGTCGCTTCTTATCGGCATCGCTACTCATGAAAAATCAACAAAATCTGCCTTGCTGCCATGGTTTCTACCATTTCTTGTAATTCTCCATCTGAGTTTCTGCAACCACGGAAATGCATCCCTAAGGAGGATTTCTCCATATTTCAAGGGTTATCAAGGCTACTTCCCATGCTAATGCAGCAATAACTGATCATCATGCTCTGCTTTCACTCCAAGCCAAAGGATCTTGTAGCCAGAGGAAGGTAGTGCTGCAGAGAACAGGACAGATGAGTAAACTCACAGTGAATCCGTGAGGGCCTCCATCTTTTACATGATAAATTCCGCTCCCTGCCTGAAACAGAAAGGTGCCGCTTTCTTGGTGGTAATCATAAGAGGCAATCCCAATGGTGCCAATTCGCTTCCTCTCCCGCAGCAACTCCTCTTCACGAGAGTACATCCCATAGTCCAGGACGGCCTGAATACGGGCAGAGAAGCACAATCAACACCTCCGCTCTGCATGTCTTACTACACTGCCAGAGCATCTCTGCATGCCTAGCTTCCAGGAGCAGATGGCTGTGCAGACACTCTCCTCCTCCAGAATCCTGCTGGCGGCTAGAAGCCCGCTCCTGCTCGTGCCTCTGCCATCGGCACTTGTAGGTGCAGGCCACGATCAGCTCCTACACAACGGTAAACCTGATAGCCACTTCTCCCGTAGCAAGGCTGGCATGAGTTCCAATATTCACTGGTATAAGAAAGATCAGACTGAAGGTCTGTTGCTTCTAGAATGGGCAGGAGAGTCTTCGCTAACTTTTGCAAAGAAACACAGTGACTGGTATGGTGGGAGGAGAGCACAGCATGAATTTTATGCCTGGCTGACAGCCTCAGGAAATGACATGGGAAAAACCACACCTAATTCCACATGGGGTTTGTTCCACCTCCTCCAGCCCGCCCCGTGGTGTGTGGGGTGGGACTGGTGCGGGCTTGCTATGCACAGAGGTGAAAAGGGGACGCACGTCCCAGTGAGTGGGAAAGGGATCCTCTGCTCCAGCATGAGTCACGGAGCCGTGGACTGAGCCTCAGGGGGACTCACCACTTCCCCCTGCAAGATAGTGATTACTGGAGACTACAGGCTCTTCCAGCAATCCCCAGAATCTCACAGCAGAGAATTCAATGCAAATCAGCACTTGTAATCTCTGCCGGCAAAGGAGGGATCATCCAGCACACACAGTTTTTATGATGCACACAGGCTGCAACTCCAAACACCGATGAGAAAGCTGTGCTTGTTTTTGAGATAGCTGCAGAGTTAGACCAGTACAAGGAGAATCTTAAAATTTTTATGACAACAAACTCCAAATTTTAATGGTGGCTTGGTTACAGGTGCAACCCCAAAGCCTGTGTACTTGCTATGCTTCCAAGAAGCAAGAAGGAAATCAAGACCCACCGGAAAAAGATCCAAAAGAGGCTTCCAGGAAAGCAACAGGACGGCGGCTTTGTTTACGGTTTTGGGAATTTCAGAGTAGAAAAGCGTGTTTTCCCTGTTCTCCCCAGACATCGCTATTGTGAAAGTGAGAAGGAAAGAAAAAAAAAATATTAGCTTTCTGTTAATAATCCAAACACTCTCAAAGGATACCAAGAAACAGTTTCACAGGCCCTGCCTACCAGAGAAAGTACTGACTGTCTCTGCACTGCAGCTTCGCTCTGGGAATCCCCTGATTCACAGAAATGCAAGTCACAGAGAAGGCAGAGAACAAGGAGCTACACTCAGGCTCACCCCACACTGCCTGAAGCACATATGTGTCTTCCTGGAGGCTGCGGGCCCTTTTGTTTTATAAGCTTTTAAAATCAAGGAGGGCCTTTCTGCTAATTCCCCTGGCTGAATATGGCATAATGCAGCTTGTGTTTCAAAGATGACGCATCTTTAGGAAGGTTTGAACATCTCTCTCCCGTTCCCCTCCGTCAGTGCTATTCAGATTTCTGACAGCTCCTGCCAATGCACACAGGGATCAGCCTGGAGGGAGCCAGATGTGCCCTGGAGAAGGCCCAGTCTGACCTCCAGCTCCGGTAGCGGCACATAGGAAACCAGAACTCATCTCAGTTGAGGTCAGCCTTAATCCACCCTCAGATTGCCTGAACTCAGCATCATTCAAGGATTATGACCCCCATCCTCTCAAGAAGGCAAAAAGGGAGATCAGCAGCTTTCCGACTATGTCACTACACAGCACACGCTAAGACTCTGTGAATCACAAATTAGGGCTCAAGGAATTAGCCTGAGCAGCAAGCGATGGGGCTAGAACGTGGTTCCGTATCCTAGGCCTTTGCTTCTCCACCTAACCCAGTTTTTCATGGACTTATGTTCAGCTAGTGCAGCGTTTGACAAAAGCGTTCCTCTACCACAAGGCCTGCTCTAAAAAGCCACCCAGAAGGTTGCTCATAGTATCATTTACACTGCCAAACCACTTCAAGCACAGCTGCAATTTAGAAATGCAGATACATCAAGTGAACACCAACTAGTGTAACAATGCAGAAGTGAGGTACTGAGGCCAAGAACAACACGTGACATTAAGTTCTTCATTATCAAGAACAAAATTGTTGAGAAAAACATTTACTCTTTAAGCTGCCTCTGCCCTACACTGCTATTTATTCCGTCCAGAATCCCTGGAAAACCTACTCCATCAGCAGCTGAGGCACAAAGGACTTTCAAAATTCCATTTATAATCTCTGTTTTGGGAGGAAACTTTGAAGAAAAAGGTTCTACCCACTATTTGTAATTAAGAGAAAGGAGATCAAACTGACACCCTTTTGGAGAGGGGATATCACATTTGGAGTGAGAGAAAACAGGCCGAACAGACTTAACCCGTCCTCCCAGCTAGGGAACATGCCCCAAGGGACACTTCACAGTGCTTCTGTCTCCAAAAGGCCTAATGGTCACCTCCAACCACACCATTTCGGTGGGAGATTACACTGCAAGTTTTCATGAGACATTACAGTCATGACCATGACATCTGACCAGCCAATCTGGCCTGAAATCCATTCTGATTTAAGTATATCAGAAACATCCGGCTCTCAAGAACAGTCAAACCCAAACAGCCTCTGTAGTGACTGTTTAGTCAAGACACAGGCTGTCGCAGCAAGCTTACCCAGATAGTAGATCCTATCAGAATGAGGTCCTTCAGGATCATTTTTCTTCACAAACGTGAAGTCGTGAGGAGCTTTTGCCATCATGTATCCATGATACTTCCGCGTATCTGTGAGCAGTTTCCGAAGCTGGCTCCAGGAATGTCTCTCTACGTAGAAAGGTTCCAGTTTTGGCTGCTCCTCCCTCTGGACCTGCTCCTCACAGCCCGCAGTTTCAAAGATTTCAAGGCTCGGCTGTTCAGTTTCCATGGCTGCTGCCATGTTGCATGTTTCTGGAAGAACAGAATGGCAGAAGTTCAGCATTGCCTTCCAGCAGCCCAGCAAACACTCACTTCAGACTCCCAAAACACACCACAACAAAAGCACTATAAGAAAAGCACCATTTCACGTGGGAATAAAAAAAAAAAAAATCACAGCAGAATGAAGAGGACTAGGAAAGAGATTTCTGCTGTAGAAAACAGGCTGCCATCACTCAGCCTTTCACAATGGGACTAAGAACTTCATAGCGCCATACAGATTTACTGTTGTTCGCCTTTGCTACCCTCCCACATACCAACCACTCATTTCAGTTCATGAAGTGGATAAATTCTTCCCCGTTAAGCCCCTACCTGCGTCTTCATCCCTGTGAACGAATATGACCTCGCTACACTGATAACAGAACAGGGGACGACTGGGGCTGTAGCCAGATCTGGGACAACGAACTGCTCAGAAGAAACAACAACATTAGTAGTTGATTTGGCACCACTCGGCCATACACTGCAGGCCTGGGCAACTGCATGCCCTTATTCTCATTATTCTCCTATAACTTCTTGGGTTTCTTTGTGTCTCCTTTCAAACAAAGCTTGGAAGGGTATAGCAATGATCACCGCTATTATATCATCTCAGGGATAAATTTAAAAATACTGTATGGATGACACGCTTCCAGAAGTGTCAGGCAATACCAGAAGAAAGGGTACACAGCAAAAAAAGCATTTTCCCAACAGATTTATCTGCAGCGTAAGTCTCATGCTCCAGAACAGGTTGTTAATTCAGCAGATACCTCTTCCTGAAGTCAGTTGTGCTTTACAAAGCAGATCTGAGCTGGAATAAACAGCCCAGATGTCTGGAAAGAGGAAACCACTATATATCCAGATCTGAGGGCAGCTGTAAAAGGATCCAAGCTATAAACTCCTGCCACATAGTTCACAACCGGAGAGACCAACATGTAAGGGCTGTCAATCCTCCAGAAGAGAGGCTGTTTCTATATATAGCATGGAAAGGCTGCACAACTGTTCTGCACACTGCTAAGGCAGAGCTTGTTGGCCTGAGCCTACCAAAAACATTAATACAGACTAAATTAAGCATTCCCATTGAGCAAACAGGCACTAAAAGGCCACTGAACCTCAACACGCCGGCTTGGGAAGCACAGCTGCCCGAGGCAAAGCTCTGGGATGGACTGGCTCTCCTGCAGCTCTCCACAGCAGCTGAGAGATCTCATCACAGAGTGAAAAAGAGACAACCTACACCCTGGACCAAACCCATTTTAACACAAACTGCTAAAAGCAAAGCAAGACAAGTCTGGATGAAAAGCTTGGTTCCACCTTTGACAATACAAACACGGGTCTTTGTTTTGTCCAAGCTATTTATAACACAGAAACACAGCACAAGTTAAAACAGCCCAGTAAAACTGGACAGAGAGTCCAAGCCCACAGACAGACCAGTGCTCTGCTCAGACAGTGCGAGACACTGACAATGCGACTTCAGTCCTGAATCAGAAGACTCTCATCTAATTTGCAGAATTTCAGCGAAAGAAAATCTGCTTTCCCCACCTACACCCAGATGCTGGTACGTTTAACCCGACTTATTCCTCACGCTCCCCTCCCATGAAAAGAGACAGGAAGTGAAGAGTGGCAGACTTTAACCAGCAAACAAGAGTGAGAACTGCCACCCGGCAAGGTGAGGCTAGCCCAGGGTAACGCGAGGATCTGCCTCCCAGGAGATCACTGCGGGATCTCCACCGCAGCCACCTTCTGCCACATGAAGCATTTTATTTTCCCCTTCCTGCAGCCAACACAGAGCTACCGCCCCGTCCTCCCCACCAGCGCTACAACCCCGTAGGTCGTCTTGTATCCGCAGGGTGCGCCGGTGGGGCAGGTCGGGCCTGAGCGGGGTGAATGGCCATGGGCCTGAGCGGGGTGAATGGCCATGGGCCTGCCCGTGTCGCCGAGGTCGGA